CCCCGCTGCTCGCAGCTGATGAGCCCGAGGGGCGCGACAGGACAGGTGTCAGCAGTTTATTGGTACTGACAAAGCCTTTTAGACATGACTGACAGGAATCGCTTCTTTCCTCCCCAGCACGCCGTCGAGGCCCACGACCCGTCTGACAACGCGGTGAACATCGAGGCTCTGCAGAGCTATGCCCCCCAGCAGGAGGAGCACGTCGTGCACGTGAGTACACAGCGGCGGACTTTTCCCTTTTCAAAACTCGCGCCACGACTAACGCCCGACCCGCCCCTCCTCCTCAGCGCCAGCCCCTGGTGGTGCCGCAGTCCGTCCAGCACGTCCAGGTGCAGCAGGTGCAGGAGGTGCAGCAGGGCCCCGTGTACGTCTACGAGCAGGAGCAGGCCAGAGTCCCCGAGGCCGAGGTGCACGTCGAGCTGCCGAAACAGGTCGCCGTCGTCGAGCCCGCCCAGCACGCCGTCGTGGCGGCGCCCGGCCTCTACCGCGAGCAGAAGGAGCACCAGGAGTACGCCTCCCAGTATCGGTTCGGCTACCGCGTCCGGGACGAGCACGGCGGCAACGACTTCGGCCACGCCGAGACCCGTGAGGGTAAGATGACAAAGGGCGAGTACTTCGTGACGCTGCCCGACGGCCGGCTGCAGAGCGTCAAGTACTGGGCCGATCCGAGCGGCTACCACGCCCACGTGTCGTACACCAACCACGCGTCGCACCCCGCCCCCGCCCCCCAGCACCAACCCCACCAGCACTGACGGGCAAGCCCTGCGCGGGGCGGGGCGGGGCAGCGCCCAGTGACCCCAAGCCTAGTCAGCTCGAGTCAGCTCTACGGCAACGGATCGGTGGTCTTCGGACGTCAGATTTATTGATCGATTATCAGAGCAGGAAAGAGAATGAATTTGAGACCATTTAATTTAATTCGTGGGTGCTCGTGCGTCCTGATTTCAGGAATTTCGAGCACTGTTGTTTTTGTTTTAAGTTTGTATTGTTTTTATTTTGTGTTGTTGACTAGTGTGTAAGTTTCTGTTATGTTTTCTTGTTAAGCGATTAACGGTGTAATAGGACCCATGCCAAAGCTGTACAGAGAGTTCCGACGCGTTTTACTCCCAGGATGAAGTCTGACGGGTATTGCAGTTTCATGTAACGGGCTGCAACCCCAATGCTTATGTAGTGGCATTCACAAGACTGTGCAATAAGTGTCAAAATATTTATTACCTTATAGTTACTTGTCACCGTTATCGATAATGCACGCGCAAAATGAGAAAAAATAAAAATATTTCTAAAGATATTTTTGGTCTTAGCGGAGACTGCCGCCTTCCAATACAACCAG